CTTCTTGAAGTAAAAGGCTGCATTAACTGGGAGTACTGAATAGAACCAAGTGGTCTCCAGCATCCATCATATTCAACAGTGGAAGTCTACAGGCCACCTGTGCTCCGGCCTGGGGAAATCATCGACAAAACTCAATGAGGAAAGAGGACACTGAACTCCCACACACTGGTGCTGGGACTGAAAACAGTGACAAACTCCATGAGAATATTACTGGAAGATTCTCTTAAACATGTAGTCATTCCAATGAGCAGCATCCCCACTGCTAGCTTTGTGATGTAAAGAAATAGAACATGAATCGAAAAGCTAGCAGAAAAATCTCATAGCAGCTTATTTTTATTTTGTAAACACTGAAAATATAGTCAGTTCTCATTAAGAGAATTTAAGAATAGGTTTTAGTACATTTGTGCAATTGAATATAATTTAAAGAGAAAACAAAAAACTGTTATTGCATTCATTAATGTAATACACTGAATGAATGCCAAAGGCTACGTACCGTTTGTTTCCACAAGTCTGGGGTTCTTGAACAGACCTGACTACTCTACATTTTCCAAACAAAGTACAGGATTATTTGGTTTGGGGATGGGTTGACTGAGAGAGGACCGAGGACACCTCCTGAAGTGACAAAAGTGTTCTTATGTGTACGGTTTTCATGGTGTACACGTGGGGCAGAGCTTATCGGACTGTACGATTAAGATTGATGACATCTGCCAAAATCTCCCCTGAGGACCCTTAACTTCTGTCATTCACATCCTGATGACACTGTGTGCAAACACCTTCACAGAATAAGGGCCGTGGCTAACATAATACAGCGGGTATCCCAGTGCATGGAGGTCACATCCTACAGACCCCCTTGCACTGGGTCTTCTACATCACTCACTCCTTCCATGGGAGCCCGTGGAGAGGACGCTCACGCAGCCCTGTGGAGGTGACACTCACAGAGTCTGAGGCTGTGTGCTCCCAGGCATATCAATTCCTAACTGAGACATGCCATGTATGTAAGTCTCAAATTGAATGTGACTGTCCCAGAACCCAACCTGTTTGCCAGCACAGGTATTGTTCTCAACACAGCTCTGCACCAAGGTTGTCCTTGGCAAACACGGGATGTCTTTAAGAGATAACATAGGGCAAGGAATCTTGTAGCTATTGATGACAAAGTCATCTGCCATTCCCTTCTTTCATACTGCTTTTTCCTGGAGATGTTCAACTATGGGCTGAAAACTCAACCAAGTTGTTGTGAGCCAAAATAAGACCTTCTTTCTTTAAGTTTCCAGTGATAGATATCTTCCCCCAGCAGCAAGTAAAGTGTTGAGAGAGATTTTGGTCCTGAGAGTCTGGTTGTTGCTGTAACTACTAACCTGACCTTGTGCCTCTGAAGCCTGTAGAACTGGTTCAGGGAAGGAGTTGGGAAAGGTTTGTAGATGCTAGAAAGGATCTAAAGATGCTGTGAGCTGAGATGGAGGCAAGATTCTGTTTAGAGCTCAGAAGGTGAGAATTCTGATGAAAAACCAGAAGGTAAAGAGCAGGTCAGGCGGTTTCAGTAGAGAACAAGGACTCCATGGCCAATTGGACTCTGGGAATTGTGTTATACTCTGGTAGAAAACTTGTCTAAATTTTGCTCAAGTCCTGAAACTTTATAGGAGACTGAAATTAAGAGTAGCCGACTAATGAATTTTCCAGAGAAAAATTTAATTCATCCTGACATTCAGCATGGAGCATGAATGTGACTTGCTGCTTTTAGCTAAGTTTATACTGAAAATCAGGAATAAAAAGACCAGGTTTGCCAAAAAAGGCCCCAAAGATGAGCAGAAGAGGATTACAAATGAAGCACTTTGGATCAGACTGTATAAGGAACTGGTAGAGCGCATCACAAGAACAACCAAGGCCCCACTTATATGACTAAGCATAAGTGGAGTTAGGCCAATGAGAAAAGAAGTGATTTTTCTATTCCCAACATAAGGGGCCCTTTCTACCAAGCTGACCTATAGTGGGAGTTGATCATATGAAATGAACACATATCTGCAAATGGCTATCTCGGTATCTGTGGTTGTTGGCCCTCAGGATGGGACACTTATTCTTACTTACTGGTGATCTTACTAATATCTGTAGAGAGGCTTTAGTGGGATAGGAAGAAAAATTTTCATTATGACTGGGATCATTAAGAGTATAGTTTATAGGTCACTCAGTTACCTTGTAACTCATTGACATAGTCTTGTAGTTTGTTCTAATCATCTCCTGGAAGTGGGGATACCCACCAAGGAAGTCCAGTGTACTCAACAAAGGGAGCAGGCCACATCTCCAGTAAGATGTTTGTGGTAACAACCCTGTACATTTCTGTACCCACATTAGTAAGGAATTGTGCTCTCCTTTAAGTGGTGAAGTGATTAGTAAAAGGACTAAGAGTAACAGCTCATATAATTTATCTGAAGGCTTTGCTTTCTTTGTGAACAAGAATCTTATGTCTCCTATGGGTTTACAGGAGTATTTGGATGGTTTCTCAGTCAGTGACAGCTTCCATTTCTGGGGCCTCGAGTTGGGTGTGCTGGTATCAGGAATCCAAGCCTGCTAGTTTGAAAGTTGATGCAATTGACAGTATCACAGTGTGTGGTCCTCCTCAAATTGCTCATAGGGAAGGAAATGATGAGGGGAGATACTTTTCCAGTACTAAATCTCCTGGTGGGAATATGAGATCTCTCTTCCATTTTGGCTGAGCTTCTGTTCATCGTTGAAGAATCTGCCCAAATCTAGCCAGTGAAGTGACATGTTTTAGGAAGGCATCTGCTTCTCTATTGAAGAGAAAACCTTTAGTGAGCAAACAGTGTCCTTACAGCATTTCAAATGGACTAGGGTTTGAGGGGTATTTCTTGCTTTGATAAGAGCTAAAGGTAGTAAGCTATGTTACTGTAGGTGGGTCTCTTGAACCTTTTAGTGAAGATGGCTCTTTCAGGTCTCATTTTTTTACCTTTCTTGATGATTGTGGCCTCCATACACAATGGAGGTGATAGAGAATGCCAATGCCTGAGAGACATTCTGTGTGACACTTGCTTTAAAGGAAGGCCCCTTATGACTCTGTAAGCTCTTAGGAAGTCTGAATCTGGGGATGACTGCTGAGACTAGAGTCTTTACCACCCCTTATACCTTCTCTGTTCTACAGGGAAAGGCCTCAACCCAGTTTGTAAAGTATCTACCCACCAATAAGTATTGAAGTCCCTTATTCATTGGTGTATGAGTAAAACTGAGCTGCCAGTCTTCCCTCTGGGTATTTACCATGTTGCCCTATAGCTGGAGGAGCAATTGTCCAGTGAAGAAGATGGTTCCTTTGGCAGAACTCACATGTCTTAATTATCTGTTGTATTGTCTGAGAAAATCCTTTTTCTATGAATAGCTCTGAGGACATCTCGTAGGTCTTGTCCCTCCCCAGGTGAAAGGTTTGCTGTATATACTTAATAATTTCCCTTTGACTAGCACCAGGAAGGAAAAATTAAGCATCATCTGATTGTAACCATCCCGTTGGGAGGAACTGACACCCACAGAGAGCCCACTCAATTTCCGCCTGAAAATATTTGGCCTGAGTGTGATCAAGGGACCCTTCCCAGATCAGATGGACCTAAAAGGGAACTTTGACCAGATTCTTTTGCTGCTGCATCAGCTTGTTGATTACCTTGAGATACTTTGTCAACTGCCTTGTGGTGTCCTCTACAGTGAACTACTGCCACTTTGGAGGTCACATAGACAGATAATAAAAGGATCATCTATCTCTTCATGATATTCTATGGGTGATCTACTGGCTGTCAGATAATTCCTTTTTCCCGTATGGATGTGTGGGCATGCAGTATTAGAAAAGTGTGATGGATTGACACTTACGTGCAACCACAGTTGTGAGGTACACAGGCCATCCCTTTGCTCAATGTCTAATTTATGACTCAGACAAACTGCAGGCTGTTGAGCATGTCCCCAATCCTGTACAAGTACTCCCAAAGACATGTCCTGTCTTTCATGAACACACAAACTGAAATGTGTACTGCTGGTAGGCTCAGAGGTGGGGCATTTAGAATTTCTTGTTTAAGCTTCTGGAATTCAGTTTTGGAATCAGGTTTCCAGGTTAAAATATGGATATCTGTCTTTCGGGCTTCTTTTATAAGCTGATAGAGGGGTCAGGCAATCTCACCATATTGGAGTATCCATAGGTTAGAAAAGTGTATAATACCTAGGAATGCCCTTATTTGTTTCAGAGTTTTGGGTTCTAGACAAGAAAAATTCATTTAATTCTTTCCTCCACCAGCATTATGGTTCCCCTGGATATGATAAGGCCTAAATATTTTACCTCAAGGCTGAAAAGTTGTGCCTTTGATATTGAACCCTTATAAGCCCTGTCTGCTATAAAATCTAGCAGAGCATGAGTGTCCTGGCCAGAGAGCTCTTCTGAGGCAACACATAACAGGATATCATTTACATATTTCAGGACTGTGATACTGGGAAGATTCAAAACTCACCAAGTCATAGAGAGGCACTTGCCCAAATAGTTGAGGACTGCCTCTGAGTCCTTAAGGAAGTACAGTCCACTTCATTTGAGAGGAC